AAAACGTACTACCTATTTGAACTCGTTACCATTATGCGTATAAAACCGTAGAATCCCGGTGATGAAAGGTAAATATATTTAACAAATACAATGTACATTCGAATGAAATATATTCATTGCAATAAGATACAAAATAATTATCTGGTCCAGTATATTTACTTAAACTGTCTATAAATACTATAAATGTCGAGTTTTTAAAACAGATGTGCTGACAGGGCTAGAGAGATAAGTGTAATTAAACTTATTGTACCGAAATATATTATGTTAGTTATATATATTATATATATTTATATATATATATATTAGTATTTGCTTTACTGTTAGCTTCTAAGTACTATAAACAGCTTAAACAAATACTTTTGAGCTTACATTCACCTGTCTAGATAGCTTAGTTTTTTCCCCTGCATTCCTATTTTATAAGGTGTACAATAAAACCCACGGATGGCGTAGTAGTTTAAGCGGTCGCCACGCCGCTTACTACGCTGTGTGTTGTGGGTCCGATCATCACATGGGACGACACTTTGTGTGATTCACAAATTGTTGTTCTGAGTCTGGGTGTTCTTTGTGTTTGTTTCATGTATGTTTGTAAAGTCCCCCGCGACACAGGATATATTCCTAATGGGGAAGTTGCCTTTTTGAACAACAATAATAATAATAAAAACGATAAAAAATAAACAAGCAAACAACAAAAAACAACAATAATAAACATTACTGGTCGTAAGGAGATATGGAAGAGCAAAGAGCTGCATGGACGTTTTTATCGGGCCTTGAACAGGCCTGAGGTAGACCAACTAGCATCTGTATTCTGGCTACGATTCGGTGCCCTCTTCGGGGAAACTGAAGGTTTTGTCTTTGCAATTACTGATGAAGTTGTTATGACGAATAATTATCGGAAGTATATCCTGAAGGACGGCACAATATATATTTGTCGGGCTTGTCATTGTCCTGGTGAAAGCCTCAGACATATAATTTCCGGTTGTTCTCGTCTTGCCAACGGCGAGTACTTGCATAGACATAACCAAGTGGCCAAGATAGTCCATCAGCATCTTGCTCTCAAGTATAACCTTGTAACTGTAGAGTTAAAGTACCTACTACAAATATGTGCCCGACCCAATTCTTGAAAATGGTCGTGCAATGTTGTACTGGGATCGCCCTATTATCACTGACAGGACTATTGTTGCCAATAAATCTGATATAGTGGTAATAGACCGATTAGAGCACTGAGCAATGATTGTTGACATTACCATTCCACATGACGACAATCTCTTGAAAGCTGAAAAAGATAAACAAGTAAAGTATTTGGATTTGTCCCACGAGATTGTCGACATGTGGGATGTTGATTCGGCAATCATTTTACCGATAGTCATATCGGCCCATGGATTAGTTGCTAAGAGCCTCGACCAACATCTTCAGAGGCTCGCGTTAGGCAGTCGGATTAAGGGCCTGATGCAGAAAGCAGTTCTCCTCGATACGGCACATATTAAGAGGAAGTTTCTGTCTCTGGAGTCCTAACCACCGAAATCTTGGTCCCTGTACCCGATACCGAATGGACACTATTTTTTATATTTTTAAAGGTTTTTTTTTTGTTTTTGTATATAAATATATTTAAAAACGTAATTTATAATAAAAATGTATATTTAATGAAACAAAGAGAATAACAATAACATTATTGCAACCATACGTACGTGGTACCATAGTCAATTCTTTGAAAAACTAAAAGAAACGTTTTATGTAATGTTTGATTTCGTCAATACTATCCGTAGTCACGCAAAATGTATTTTGTGATGACAGCATGTTGTAATACAAAAAGGTCGGCGAAGATTTGGAAAGTTCTTTGTTTATACAGGCGTCTGTCTATCACATGTTGAATTTTTGCAATAAGTCGGTATTTTTTCTGATTTAGATGTTAGATATGTACCTACTTATTTTGTGATGAAGGATAGGGTGAAAAACTTATATACTCGTAGTAGTATAGATACACACATATATATATATATATTTATATAAATTGATATAATATTTTAATTTAAAGGTTTATTTATATCAAATTTAAATACATACATGGATTGTAATCCATGAGTTTTGAATGATCATCAACAGCATATAATAGTCCACTGCTGGACGTAGGCCTCTCCTTGGAAAGGAGGTTTTTGGCTACTATACCACCCTGGCTAGACGGGTAGGTATAGGGTTTGTTTCAAGTTTTCATGATGAAAAGTGATGAAAAGTGGATACTGTACGATAATCGGAAGCGCTCGTCGCAATGGCTGAACCCTGGAGACCCACCCAAATCCTGACCTAAACGAAAATTGACTCAGAAAAAGTTTTTTTGTAAGTGTTTGGTGGACTAGCGCCGGTGTCGTTCACTACAGCTTTCTAAAATCTGGCCAAACGATTACGGCAGATATCTATTGTCAGCAACTGCAAACCATGAAGGAAGAACTAGCTGCTAAACAACCGAGATTGGTCAATCGCTCCAGGCCACTGCTGACCACACACTGCACAGCAAACAACCACTAAGTTAGATGAGCTACAATTGGAATATCTGCGACATCCACCGTACTCCCCGGACCTTGCTCCAACAGATTACCATTTTTTCCGGAATTTGGACAACTTCTTACAAGGAAAAAAATTCAACTCCGATGCGGCAGTCCAAACCGCCTTCAAAGAGTTTATTGATTCTCGCCCCCATGGTTTTTTTAGCAAAGAGGTCAATGAACTACCCATGAGATGGCAAAAGTGCATAGATAACAACGGTACATACTTTGATTAATTAAATATATTTTACATAAGAAAATGACTTAATATTCCACCCGTACAAAACGCTAATTTCATATGTAAGGACCTAATAATATAGAGTCCATAATGCTTTGCAACTATAAGATGGTATTTAGGATGAAATGCATGAGCTACAGAACTTCATGTGTCGTGAAAGAAAACAATGTTTGATTTGTTATTTTTTGTAATTTATTTATTGTAATTACTGAAATACTTTAAACAATTGCCAATTAAAAGTAATACTTCCAGGGTGTGGCACCTGCTAACTATACAGTAGGTCGCAGTGATAGACGATAATAATAATATATTAAAATCCATTATCTCACATAGTACTGCAAAATTATTCATCGAATGTGTTTAATCGATTCTCGTGGACTCCAATTGAAATACAAAGGCTTATCTTATTTTTATTTCACACCGTCGAGAAATGCTACGTGTGACGATAATTAAAGACAAATACTGTTGGAAAAACTACTTTGCAATTTTCAACTATTTGAAGCTTTTTAACATTTTTTATTCAAAACTTACTTTTACTTAAGTTTGGCTACTTTGTGGGTAATCCATTCTTTCAGTTCATGCTTGAAAGACACAGAAAGCTTTAAATTGGCTTATAAGTAGTAAGCTATAACTTAAATTAACTATTTTGTATTTTACTTTCAAGAAATAATATAGGCATGCAATGATGAAAATGGGACCACCTAAGTGTTACCATAGACTTCAGGGTCGGGCAAGTCTGTAAGTGAATTTGTGTAGGAAAACATACTGGACAAAGACAAGGATGTAATATTTAACCAGATACGTATTGCCACGTTTGCGACTAATGACTTAGTGATTTCTTTTTTTACGAAAAGGTCCGTATTTTATTTTTACATGAATTTACGGTTACTTCGGCTCCTTTAGTAATCTAGTCTTTCATTTATGTTAGACCAACATTTCTGTAAATGTCTAATGTTATTTATCTTTATAGAGGAACAGTTTCTTTACGCCTGGGGATGAAGTTTGATTAAAAGTGGGTGAGTAAGATAAAGTCTAATGCTCTGTGAAGTTATAAGATTTTGTTTTTTTAGCCCACTTTGATTTTAAAGTAATAGGAGCTATTTAGGAAGCACACCTTTTTTACCATCCTATCTTTTGTTTATTTTAACATTAATTACGAAAAAAAAAAATTATAATCTGGTAAAAACAAATATAGATTTTATGAGGTGCAGATTTTACTTATTTGTCACCACGTTTATTGACAACTTGGAAAAAATAAGACTTAAAAGAACACTGCTTTTCATATTTCACATAGATTGATATAAAACATCTAAAATAAAATACTTTAAAGAAAGTTATAACGCGAGACAATCTAGCACTATCACTGCGTCTGTATATTGGTTCGGATAGACATACTCTCTAAAGTTTGCCAAATTTTATTCATCATTGCTGATATCTCTCCATTATGGAGTAAAAAGGAGTTATACTTCTCTACAGATAGGCGTAATTGGATTATGTCAAGATTAAGGAACTACGAACCTTTTAGATTTTGCTTGAGACAATGCCGATTCGAAAGGAAAATTGTAGGAGTTGACTTTGGAATAATTTAACGACACGCTAACTTACATCCCTGATTTCTATTATTACAGTAACAAAAGCTGCTTCAAAATGTTCTCAAAGGGTTTGCCTGTTTATGTAAGTATAGTGTAAGGGCTGTAACCGCATGTTTACTGAATAAAATATATTGACTGATACAATGTCGGTATGTACGAGTAAGTATACAATGTGAGGTTTGATGTTAGAGCGCAGTTGTCAAACATTAAGTTTACTATTCGTATGTGTATAATCAGGAGTACGATGTTGAATACCTTTAAAGACGCTCGAATATATTAAATGCATATGTTGTATATATAAAACTTAACCAGTGCGTGAAATTTGATGCTATTAGTAAAATAGCTTCATTAATAAATAAAGACTTTGTACCCACTTAAAAAATCAAATGTTTGAATCACAGTTAGTTATGTTCTCATAATATAGTCTGCCTTGTTTTTATAAAGAAATTTAAGTTATAATGTATATATACCTTAGTTATATGTATATAATAATTGTATTTTTTTCTATTTAATTAATTTGCAATTAACGCTAGTTCTGAAACTCGTCTTTGTTCTTCTTATTTCGTTAGTCTACTTCGTTGGTAATCTCATTTCATGATATATACAATATATAAACAAAAGGTTTGCCATTAGCTAAGTAAAGAATGTGTATAAATACCTTTCCTTCCTGATTTCGCTGTTTTTTTTGCGGAAACTTGCCACCAGCACTTGCAGGTCCGATGAGTGCCTCTCGTACAGCTGCGACAACTGTGTCGTAAAGTCTGCCACTAAAACAAAGACATCACTTTGTTACGCTCAATTATGTTTCATTAATGGCATTATGGCCAGCGTGGTATAGTAGGCCAACACCTCCTTTCAGAGGAGAGCCCTATGTCCAGCAGGGGACTATCATAGGCTGTTGATGATGATGATGTTTCATTAAAATTAAGTATTAAAACTAATAAACATAAAAAAAAAACATTTGCGGTCGATCTTTTAATATGGTACTGTTACCATAACTATTGATTTCTTAAGCGTTCACCTAACAAAGATATCTTATATTTCAATATAGTCCTAGGAAGTTTTTTATACTTTTTTCCCCTTAAGAAATTATTCTAATAATTACTCATAACTCTCTCCAGATCGAAAATAAATGGACATGAGTAAAAAGTAAATAAACGTTGAAAAACATTTTCACTCTTCTGAAGATGATGGGAAGGATAATCACGTGTTTAACTAAGCTTGTTGCCTAAGAGTACAAGATATATTGCCTCAAAATTCTTAAGATATTACATTATACTGCTTTAAACTTTGATGTAAAACCAATTTATACACGTATTCGAACTGATTATGCGTGCGGTGTTGTTTTATAAGGGGTATATATCTTTATTATAAGAGTATTAGTTATATCAATTATACACTTTTTGGTACAGCTTTCTTCCTAAGATCGTGTTTGGAAACTTTGTAACTTTTCTTTTATACACACTTGGGTAATCATTAATGAAAGTCCCTAACACCTGAGCAAGGAAACTTTCATGAAAATCGTATTTTTTTATGAAGAAGTTACTGCTGCTATTTAAGTTTAGAAAGTATGATTTAAAGCTATAGCTTTTATTAATATTTTTCCATTCCTACACCTTGTCCTTTTACCTACATCTATACTTTTTTATTTCTTCTTCCTATTCACGAATCTATGTCTACACTTTGTGCTTTAGATTTGTGTCTTAAATCAATTTAACTAAGTGTGTGATATAAAACCTTACATATACAAGTAATAATCGTTCGCATGGACACAATTTTCAATCAAATCAAGGAACTTTAGATTATGAATTTGAAGTAATTTAACCAATTACAGAGACATACACAGTATTTGGCAGGCCTTTCCAAGGTGTGTGAAATAAAGTAATGACATAGATAACATTTTTCGACAGAGGACATATGTCATATATTCCTATGGGTGTACGTACTCGTTTATTTATAATTCGTAATATAATTAGTGTTGAATTAAATTTAATTGCAAATTGAAATGCATATTATTAGAAATCAGCTTAGAAGTCAGGATTACAGAACCAAACCAATAGGTCAGTCAACACATTTAATGACGTCTATATTTTTTTTCAACTATAATGGAATCTAATTATTAGCTAAAATTAACAGAATAAAAATTCTGAAAAAACGGATTCCCGTTAATTTACATAAGTATTGTCGAATTAGATTTTTTAGAAGTATTTTTTTATTTTGCTAAATATTTGATGAAACAGATTATTGCTAGTGTGTTGACCCATGACTTAAGAGTCATTACGTAAGAGATTTCAAACAGTTTAATGGAATTTTAGAAGCAGAAGGCATAAAATTATCGAATCCGTTTCGACAAGCAACATAACAATGTTAATAAAGATATATGATTATTGTTGTGAACATTAATACATATCACATGTATGTAATACAATTTACTGTGTAAACTATCATGGAGTGGTAATTATGTTGCGTTTCCACGTCTTTATTGTTTATTTGTTATTAATTACCAACGACTAATGCTCTACGCTTAATGAATAAGCTTATAGCTAGTTAATAGTGGAACTACTGAGGAAGCGTGAATTTAAAAGTAGCGCAGTACTTGATAACATTTTACCTCGTTGCAAGTCACATTACAAATACATTTTATATACGCGATAGAGATAAATATATATTAAATCATATTAAACTAATTGAATATCAAACCGTTACTCTGCCTGGTTAACTTATAATATAACAACCGTTTTCATGAATAATGTACAAAATATGTTAAGTTGGCTACATGTTACAACGTCGAGATCGAACTCCCAAATCTGTGAACATTTGTGTTCAGTAATATTGTTTTATTCAGTCAAGTAATATTAATATATAAAATCTAAAATGTAGGATAGAAGAAAGTTTCCGTTTTGTCTGTTGAGAGACTTATGTAGTAGTAGTAGTAGTAACTACTTATGAAGTTTTTTTTTTTATTATGGCATAAAATAAACAAATAGTTCCCTAAGTACCCATTCCTTACATAATATAAAAGCGATGAGGTCGAGAAAACCGAAACTTCAGTTAGACTAAGACGACATGAAAATAAAGTTAGAAGACTTCATACTAAGTTTTGAGACTACGGGGCGCACTGTGCGAGTTCGGTTTTGAATATTCTATCCAGTCAAGAATAGACACCAATACTTTTGAAATTTCATAAAGTAATGCATAAACAACGAGAACAATTTTTAATATGTTTATGTTATGTTATATTACAAGTTTATATACATGGCAAGCCTTACATGTCGGCGTTTGAAAGTTGTTATGCTGGACTCAAAGCATCTAAAATTACGTTATGGTTCCACTCATACATTTAGTTTTTCCTTGTTGCAGTGTGGATCCATATTTATATCAAATTGAATTAAGTGCCTTATTTAAATTATGATAACTTTGTTATGTCCAATTCCTTTAAAGAATATATATCTAATTATGTTTATGGGAATTAACGCGCTCACGATAGATATTAAGTACATACTTTTAAAATCCCATTACCATTTCATGGATCATATCATATTAGTAAAAAGTATTTGAAAAAAGCTGAAAAATAAAAGCCTAAAATGTTTACGAAATGAATGGTTTCTTTACGGTAAATTTGGTGGTGAAGTTAATGCGACAGACGCGAGATTGCTTAATTAGACATCGCAGAGAGTGCGAGGCTCACAGCTTTATCCACGCTGTTTGTGTACAGATAGAAATAAGCATGAAAGATTTATGGCTACAAAGTTTAAAATTCTGCTAATGGTAGTCTTTTAATGAGTAAACAGATGTACATTATCATAAAAACCATTCAAGTTCATTTATTGCGTTGTTTAAAAACAGTAAAAAAATACTATGTATAAATACATATAAATGTATTTAATTAAATATATACTAAATATACTACACATATATACATATATATATATATATATATATATGTAACTGTATTTTAGTATAACTATTACATAGATGTATTGGTTATATTAAAATGCAGTAAACATGTGTATTTATTATCTTATACAATATATGTGTCACAATGTTAGTTACCATACTCCTCCGAAACGGCTGGACCGATTTTTATGAAATTTTGTGTGCACCTCGGGTAGGTCTGAGAATCGGCCAACATCTATTTTTCATACCCCTAAATGACAAGGGTGACCCACCCCTAATTTTTTTTTAAAATATTTCCTAGAAATAATGAATATGGCAAAACAACGTTTGCCGGGTCAGCTAGTTACGTATAAATATAATCTACATAAAAAAAAAATGATAGTATTTAAAACCCATTGGGTAGTTACAGTAACATAATTATATTTTTAATATCTTGGTCAGTGTTACGGAAACTGGTAATAATTTATTAATTATGAAGTCTAACATTAGCTTGTAGTTTAATATTGATTAAAGGATAAAGATGTAACGAGGCAAGCTAACGTTGTTTATAAGGAATTTGTCTAAATATTTTTTTAAATAAATTGTTTGGATGGTGGCAAAGTTAAATGATCATAAAACAGTGAAAATTTTATCACTATTTTTTATTTAATCTTAATTAAAAGAAAATAAATACAGCGTTAAAACTATATGAAGGCGAACAGGCACACTTGACATTTATCATCATTAAGATTTGAATTCGGGGATTATAGCTGCAACACTTGCGGAGTGTTAAATTTGGTTGCAACACCGCCGCCATCTTGAGTTTAGACTTCATAATAAGAGTTGTTAAAGAATTCTCTACTGGATATGAGAGTAAAAAGTTTAAATTGTGTGGCGAGTAGGGTCTTTCGAGCATCTTTTTTGTGAAAAAAATAGATAAATTTTTCCATTCTTTCATTCTATCGTATTAAGTTATAGTACACCATGTATATGTATGTTTTCAGATAAAAAATAAGTAGCACAATAATAAGGCTGTCTGCAATATAGTAAACATTTGAGTAAAGCCTTAACCAAATTAAACCATGGAGACTATGGTCTTTTGAGCCCCTCTATTCGTTGATTAAAAACGCGGGATTTTTCTTGGCTTGGGGGAACTTCTAATGTATTTACATTTTGTTGGACAAATCAGTGTGGGACCCAGTTTTATCATAAGAATACATACAGTTTTGCATGCACTTATGCTTCCTTGGACAAGATCTTAATATAGGTTATAAGGGACATCGTAACGAATACTGAAAGTAAAAATTATATTCAGACCATGATTCTGAGTCGAAAATCATTGGAATTTCAATAGAAAATTCCAGAGTAAATTTAATAATAGTAATGATTATATAATAATTCATTAATAGAAAACCGTGATTTTTATTTGACTGTAAAAACAACTTTTTTGGGTGATGTCCTAATTGTCACAGAAAAAATATTGTCCGAATCGTCTGGGGGGTTTTTGGGGACCCGACTAGTTTCAGATCTGCAACCGGATATTGGGCTCACGCTTTGGCAAAAAAAGCCGTGTAGTGTCGTGGGACACCCGATAGTAACGAAGTTGTGACGATCTAGTAAAACTGATTTGACACGATTTTAATTACAACGCCCTCTATGAAAGCGGCTATTACCTACATATTAAAAACAATTAAAACAATTTATACATTGGTAAAATCTCCTTGCGAAATGATTTCCTATCTATTCGATAGATGGCGCTGAATGTCTGACAAGATGACACGAAAATAAAGAGCAAAAAGCCAACATCACGTGGTATTCCCAGGCGGTCACCCATCCAAGTACTAACCACGCCCGATGTTGCTTAACTTCGGTTATCGGACGAGAACCTTTA